TGTTAAAGTGTCCAAAATTCAAGAACCAGCCCTCATTCTCTGAGAGAAGGTCAACGGTTTAGACTTAGGCCTGGAGAGATCATCTCTGACAAAAGCTCATATCTACAGGTGTCCTTCAAGCCGAAAGTTAAGAGAAAATAATTAGCTAGGTTTGCCCATTAAAAAAAAATCCATAAATGATATATTACTATCAACCTAGGTAAGAAGATTACATCAAAAGTAGGGCATAGACCAGTGGTTAGAATTTACAAAATTTTGAGATTAAAAGTGTGGCCCAGGACATGATTGCAAAGTGGATATGTACACAGGCCAAAGGAGGGTAGAAGCGGTGTGGTGTGCAATGAGGGCCAGACACTCAACTCCACCTCTCATCTCATGCACGTAGTCTGGGGAAAAACTACAGAAGAATCAAGCTCATGTATGTCTTTTTTCCCTGTCATTCTCCCATTGCATCATTTAGGAATTCAGCCCCAGACTCCATGAAGGAGGAAGGGTTCAAACCCATTTTTGGTGAAGGCATCCTCTGCCCTTCAGAGAGACCATCCCTGTTCTGCCCTCAATGGGAGACCACAATGCTCCTGGGGTGAATGCTCTCCCCATGTGGTCTAGAGCTGAGCTCCAAAACAGATCCCAGATGTGGCCAGCCAAAACAGTCCCAGGCTTGGACTGCTCAGAGCAGAGCTGAGTGCTGCCAGGAAAAGCAGGGCAGAAGTCATGTTGGTTGTGGGGGGGAAGAGAGTGAGAGAGCATCTGCTCTTCTTTCCTTATTCAGTCCCCTTATAACCAACTTTCTCCTTCATCAACAGATAGAAAGAAAGCTAAACATATACAGAAGAGAGGCCTTATTGCAATGAGCAAGAAAACTCCAGCTGGGAACATTAAAATCACACAGACAAAAAAGCGCACAGAACACATGACACCCCCGTTGGCAGCCCCCGGCACTGGACCAGCCAACGCTCTGCCTCTTGAGAGCCAAAGACACATCTGCAGAAATACACATTTGCAGCAGCCATAGTAGAATCTGATGCTAGGAAAGAGGACAGGGGTAAATGTGTGTCTCCCCCATCCCTCCAGCCACAGGTCCCAAGGGCTTTCCAGGCACCAAGCCAAGGAGGAGGCTGTCAGCCTGTGTCCATCCAGGTGGGGGACAGTGGGATGACCAATGTACCCAACATCAAACCTGGGATCCTCCTGCTATGGGCCACCTGTGCAGTAGGAAGTTACCTTAAGCCTGGCTTCCAAATATAGAGGGGGGCTATGTGAACGAGGGCCCTGCAACTCTATTCTCAAGTTTTAAAAGTGGTATTATCATGAAGAAACAAAGACTCTCTTGGGCCTTCTTACTAGATTTGGGGAGGGGATAGATTCATACAACTGAACAAATATGGAACTTAGAGCAAAGGCCAGAAGACTAGCTCATGACTAGTTCTCTCCAGCAATCCTTAGAGAGACACAAACTATTATTAATAACACTCCTTCACTTGCTTGAGAGTACGGCCAGCACACAGGCTGCAGAATCAAATGTTCAGCATGTAGCTATGGTAGATCCCCCTAGCATCATCTGCAGCTGCATGAGCACTTTTCAGAAACCATCCAATTCTATATCCCAAACAACCAAGGTTGATTCCTCAGGGAGATGCTGAATCAACCTGTGGCCATTTGTGTTTGATGAGTTGCTCTGATTTTGAAAGGAGGTCTGACATTCCTGACACTGAACAGGTTGGGGTGAACCTAACAATGGTTAGCAGAAAAAGTCCCACAGTCCTGTGGGGACCCTCCAGAAACAGCTTGCTTGACTGTCTCCCCAGTCTTCAGCTCAATTCACCTCTTGAGCTTAGGCGAGAACAAGGCAAGGGAAGAGAAGGGGTTCATATTTCAATTTCCAGCCCCTGAGCTACAAAGGCCCTCAGGCACATGTCTTCTTCCTGGAGTTCACAAAGTGTGGCAGCCCCAGATGGGCATGAATCACCCCTCTGTCATCCCTGGCTAGGCTCTGATGTGATGTGCAGTGAAGGTTCACACTGTCACCCTTGCTGTGCAGACAACCCTGGCACAGGGTGCTCCTGTCCTGGTGGGACACTCAGTTTCAATTGTTTCAAATCAAGTCACAAAAGCTGAATGCAGCCTCTTCCCCAGGAAATAAGAGTGAGTTTGAGAGGGAATCTGGCTCTCTGTGGGGGCCTTATCTCTCTGCACTGGAAGAAACTTGTAAATGTTAGAAGACTTTTCTCAGGGATTCCTTCTTTGACCATCATAGACCCAAACATCCTTGCTATCCATCTGAGGATCACCTGGGTTCCTGTCCCCAAGCACTAAGGACATTCCTGGGAGGGAGTTTGTCAGGGGAAGGAGAGTAATTGTGGGATTCAGTTTTGGAATGCCCTCAGCTCTTCACTAAGCACCTCTCACAGAACTTTAAGACCAAAACCATAGAAAGGACACACAGCCAGCTTGTGGCTAACCCATCTATTGTTCCCCCCCTGGCTGGCAGGCAGTAGAAAGGGCAGGAGAGTGGGGGGATTGAGATGGAAAAGAGTTCATCTTGAACCACCCTTCTCCTCTTGGCCAAACAATGTCAAATGGGGGACAAAACTGAGGTAAGTGCCTATGACACCAAGTCATATCTGTTGATCACCTCCAATGTCCCTCACTGAGTCAAGCACTCTGAGGAAGACGAGAGCACAAGGTATGGTCCTCAAAGGGATGCCATCCACCAGCAGCTCAGCACAGGTGAGGCAGGATGGTGTAGGGGTGAGGGCAGAGACTCCAGATCTAGTTGGCTTTGGAATGGTCAACGGGCAGAGTCACCTTGGAATATTAATTTGTATTTTGCTTGTTGCATGTTCCAGCTCCCCTTTCAAATACTTGGCTGATAGGCCCTTTGGAATCGTTCCCTCTGGGAGGAAAGGAGAAACTGTGTAGAGGGAAATCGGCCTGCCTTTTGTCTGATAGGCCCTTCGGAATCGTTCGAAGTTGGCTGGAATCCAGATTCCAGCACTTAGCCAGAATTTAGGAAAGGTTTTTCAGGTTGCCATTTTCTCATTTGTAAAATAAAGATGGCAATGGGGGTCAACCTTATTAAGAACTACTGTGAGAACTCAATGAGCCTATATACATAAGGCACAGACTTATCCAAATGTCAGCTCTTCATGGGATAAGAAAAAAACATCAACTATAAAGCCAAAAAAAGATACTATGATGGACATGAAACAGTCTACAGGCCTAGATGAGTAAGAGGGGACACTTCTCTTATGTTCTTTAAATCAATTTAAGCACAACTCAATCCCCTTGTAAATGTAACACAGTCACTGTTGGACTCCCTCCCTCTCAGGGTTGAGCCTTCCATAGCTCAAGGACACCAGGAGGCCTTCTTCATGTGGCACCTGCCCCTCTGATGCTCTGGTTTCTGCTTAAGGGCCTCATGTCTTGGCCCACATGATTCCCTCTGGGCCAGAAGCTCTGCCACCTCCTTGCCTCTCTCGGGGATCAGGAGCCTTTGCCAAGGTTGGAGACCATGTGATCAACATACCACGCAGCCACCTCTGAGGTCTTCCTGCTGGCCAAGGGTCTGCTCATATTTACCAGCCTCCCCCATCTCCCCTTTTGGGAGTCTCTCTTTTCCCTTTCTGCTTGTCCACAAAGGTGCCCCCACAACCCCGCTCCTTTCTCTCCATCCAGTACACTTCATGTGATTCCTGGACAAAAGGCAGGCCGATTTCCCTCTACACAGTTTCTCCTTTCCTCCCAGAGGGAACGATTCCGAAGAGCCCATCAGCCAAGTATTTGAAAGGGGAGCTGGAACATGCAACAAGCAAAATACAAATTAATATTCCAAGGTAACATTCTGCTGCAATAACATATCAGGAAATAAATGTTCAATTGTGTCATGCTGATGACAGTCACCAGGATCTATACTTTTTTTTTTTTTTAAGATTTTATTTATTTATTTATTTGAGAGAGAGAGAGAGAGAGTGAGAGAGAGAGCGCAAGAGGGGGTAGGGTTAGAGGGAGAACCAGACTCCCCGCCGAGCAGGGAGCCCCATGTGGGACTCGATCCCGGGACTCCGGGATCATGACCTGAGCCGAAGGCAGTCGCTTAACCGACTGAGCCACCCAGGCGCCCTATACTTTTAAACATGATTGTATTCTATGTCATCGCACCTCCTGCTTGGGACAGGGTAATGCAGCAGCCTGGTCACCTCAGCAGATAATGTGGGTCAGGGTGGCTTCCCACAGGGGAATGACTCCTTAGCTGAGCTCTAACATAAGAAGGGGAAAAATCCTGGAGAAGGACAAGACGGAGGACATTTGAGACAGAAGCTAGAGGAAGGGCGAAGGCATGAAGGTCATAGTCATGGAAGGGGAGGGACAGAGAGACACAAGGGCAGCTGCGTATTTCTGGAACCCAAAGTACTAGGCAAAGGAGTCCCCACAGACAGGGGTAGATCTTCAAAAGACAGCACAGCCCATGCTGAGCAGCTCGACCATTAACATTTGGTCTGCTTTCTGAGACAAGGAATGAGGACCCCAGGTGCCATGGCAGGACTATGCAAAGCCTCAGGGTAAAGAAACACATGTAAGTCATTTAAAGCATTGCATTTATGATAAGATAAATGTAGATTTGTTAGTAAGAAAAATGTAAAATTTGATGAGTAAATTGTAAAGATAATATAGGAATTTTGTTTTACTTATAAAGAGGATATCCCTATGTTCCCTGGGGATTGCATTCATCCTCTTCAGTCCTTAAGTGTATTTCTGTAGCAAATTTTGAGAAGTTCTTTATCAGTAGCTTTAATTTTTGCTAAATCAGGATTCCCAGTTAAAAAGAAAAATGAAGTGCATTTTTCATAGTCACCCAGCCCCATCTCACACACACACACACACACACACACACACACACACACACACACAATTTCCAACAAAAGTTTTGCAATCATTACTTACTCTCACTATGTGGGGATCACTGTTCTCTAGTCTATTTTATCCTAATCTATCCTATTTAACTTTTTTTTTTTTAAGATTTTATTTATTCATTTGACAGAGAGACAGAGAGCACACGTGCACAAGCAGGGGAAGTGGCAGGCAGAGGGAGAAGCAGGCTCCCCGCAGAGCCAGGGGCCCGATGTGGGACTCGATCCCAGGACCCTGGGATCATGACCTGAGCCGAAGGCAGTCACTTAACCAACTGAGCCACCCAGGCGCCCCTATGTAACTTTAAAACTCTGATCACAAGTGACTAAACTGATTTCATAACCCATTGATGGGTTCCCACCTATAGTATAAACATTGCTGCCATAATTGAGGTAGACCCATTGGAGTGACATCAATAAAGAAGTAGCCTGGTTAGATTTGTGTTTTTAATAAATCATGCTCTGGGCTGTGTGGAGTTTGACTTTGAGGAAGATAAATGGAGGACGCAGATCAGACAGGTGGTTCTTCTGATTCTTAAGGTGGTCTGCAATGAGGGCACTGCATTAAAACAGAAATAATAGGGATAAAGAGGAGATAATGATCACGAGTATTTAGGAACTAGAATCAGGAGGATATAATACTGTATTAGACATGGATCTGAAAGAGTGGGGAAAGTCTAGAATGGCTCCCAAGTTTCTACCTCAGCCTTGGGTCTACCATTAACTGAGGCACACAGGTCTACATGGGCAACACCTTGGCTTACTTTGAATTTGAAGTTCTTGAACCATGTCTACGTGGAGGGCCCAGAAGGCATCTGCGTGTACAAGCCTGAAAAATGAGAACTATAGATTAATATTTTGGCACCATCAGCATATGGGTAGCATTTAAAACTTTGAGAGTGTGCGTGGGATGCCCCAGGGAGACTTCTATATATGCCTGGCACACAGAAGATTGTTTCACTCTGTCTTTGTGTATGTGATTATATGTATACAGTATTTTACACACAGAATTAATTGCTGTCCTATTTTACCTCCCCCTCCCCCACTCACTGAAAACAAAATTAGCAAGACAACCCCTGACCTCAAGGTGGAACTCAGAGTGGGAAGACACAAAGTTGTCGTCTGGCCCATGAAACCAATGCACATCTCTTCTTTGGTACTTGGCTGTAGCCCCAGGACACTAGGTACACATCTGTCGGCTTCTTGCTACATTCACACATCCAATCCTGTGCTCAGCATAGCACCTGACACCTAGTAGGCACTCAGGGGGAGTAACAGATGAATGAGGCAAGTGATCCTGCCTCCACACTTAACCGTCACATGTATACATCTATTTCCTTTGAAGTCCAGAGTCACACACGGCTGATAAAGGGGAGATCTTTTTATAATAGAAAAAAATGCTCAGAGTATGAATAATAATGTGATTGCTTGGAAATGTGGCCCATTTTTTTTGGCAAGATATGACAGAAATTAGTTTTGTATCTAAAAATGACAATATATAATGACAGAATAAAAGAATCTTCTACTAGGAGAATACAATTACCATACTCTTAACAAATGTAAGAGTCATGCTTGAATGAGTTAGATGAAATTTCCCTGCTGTGACTAAAACGCATTTCCTTATACAAATACATGATTTCACAAAGATGTCATGTTATATAATTTTAAAAACTATCAAAATAACTTATTCAAAAATATTTCATTTTAAGACTTTAAAAATATGTTAACTATGTTGTGAATAATAAACTGATGACATAAATAATTTCATTTTTAAAAGTATTATTTCCATTTTTCATTTAAAATAAACACATTTAAAACAGCAGATACCTGAGATCATTTTATACATTGTTGAACGTTAAGTTAAACAACGATGCAACTAACCTTGGTTCAAAATTGTTTCAGTTTGACATTTTAGACTTTTACATACATACAGAAGGAGGATAATCACATTTTTATTGATAGGATCATAAAAATTATCCGTTCTCAAGGCTGTTATAGTATCTAATTTATTTTAAAATACTCGCAAACAGAGCAATATATTTGTATGGGAACCTTAACTAATCTGAACTCCTCATGGGGTGATTAGTTAGCATTTAAAAGACCCTAATCAGACATTCTCTGAGAAGCCTACTGCAAGCAGCTTTCAATATGGCTTTTCAAATCTGTACTAGAAGACAGAATTCATGTAAACATGTTAGATAATATTTTCATTGGTGAAATAACAGGTGTTCGAGATAGTGGTCAGATAGAAATTGTATGCAGGCATCTTAACCTTATGAAAAAGGATAAAAATTTGTCACATTCCCTCTCAATGTGAGACCCTAGGTCTGGTCCAGTCTTCCTCCACTTGATGAAGGACTTTTCTGCCTATTCAAACTAGAGGGCTTCTTCCTCCCTTTCAGGAATACTGTTTTATCTGCCTTGATGTGAATATTTATGCAAAGTGTTGGGCCTGAGTGCCGTGAAGGACAAAGAAGTTATCAAGCCAATTACATGACTGCTTACTAAAAAATGTTAGATTATAGTAGAATTACATCTAAGACTTGCTTTCACTATTCCTAACACCTGGTAACTAGGGTGGGGAAAGGAGCTATCAGTTCCCACTTACTTTTAACTATTGGAAGTAACCTGTAATCACCAAAAGAAACTGACATTGTCATTGGCTAAATTGGTTTACATGAGTTTTCAAAAGTATAGTAGAGAGAACAGTAGGGATAGCCAGAAAAAGACTGACTCTGTCCCTGTCCGAAATAACCTGAAGCTGAATAATTTCTGAAGTCTGACTATCTTCACAAAAAGTGACATATAAAATGAGTGGTATAGGTAGAACACCTGAACTAGTCTACACCTCCCATTACAGAGATGAGAACTTCAACCCACAGATAACAGACCAGAATCTCACAGGTAATAAGTGGACCCACACACTGCCTCAACACAAGGGCAAGCCAATCAGCAAAGAAGCCTCAGCCTCAGCCTCATTCTGTCCCAAGGGTTGGACATTTCTGACATTTCCTATACTCCTTGGGTGACTGGAGGGTAGTGGAAAGACTTCCACTCAAAAACAATGACTCATGGGCTGCCATTATTTGGTGTATTTCCTGCTGTGGATTTGAGGTTTGAATGGATGAAACCACTATACAAAATATAGAAAGACAGGCTGTTTGTTGAGATTAGGTTAACAGCTGAAATTTCATGGTCAGGAATTCAGCCTTTTGAATTTAGCATGACTCTCTCATGTACAAAGATACTAAATTTATTCAGGAAACGTGACTTGAGCATCGATTGTATGCACAGGTACTTTACTAAACACCAGGGACACAGAAATAAAAGAGACATAATCCCTGCCTCAAGTTGTCACCCATCCTGCGGAAATGGTGTGATCTCAGGAGGAATTTCATAGGACTTAATTTAGCTCATGTTTTCCTGGATGCCCAGAAGGACCTGGGGCAATTTCTGAGCACAGGGAAAGAGTTAAAGGTAAATATCAAAAATGAACAAGAAGGGGAAAGATACTAAAAGAGGTTCCTTCTGGTGGCAGCCTTTCTGGCATCACCACATTATCGTAAGACCAACTCTAACCATAAGTGAGGTAACTGAAGTTATTAGCCAGGTGAAGGATGTAAGTCTATTGGTAAAATGCAGATTCATCCCTGGCGGCTTGGCTCTTGTCTTGGAACAATAGAAACATAATGCTTCTCTATGCATTCATGCTCTTTAATATGTTTACCCCAAATCCTTGCAGTGAAGAGAGGCTTCTTCCCTTCCATTTCCATTGACCAGATGAACTCAGAATCGTCTGGGGTTTGCATCGCACAATGTCTCCAATGAAGCAGAGGTAGATGAAAGTAGAATACATCCTGTACCTCCTGCCAAGTTAGAAAACAGGCCCATATTGGGGCCAGATGTATAAATCATGCCAAATCATATTTTACCCTTCCAGAGCTCCACTCCTCTGAGACACTTAGAAACAGGAGCAGGTAGATGTTGACTGCTAAAAATCCTTTTCCCTGAGATATAAGCAAGGATTTTAGACTCAAGGAGAAAACCTGCATTTTCTGGTGCTGGGCATTAGATTTGCCCTTGGCAAAGCATTTAGGGTGGCTTGGAAAAAGTCGAAAGACTTGTTAGGCATCGAAACCTCAGAACAATGCTTTAATGATTTAAGTGTAAATGAATCTTCGACACATCTGGATTAAATTTCCCTTTCAAGGCACATGCTAAAACACAGAAGAAAAATGTTTCTGACAAGCCATATGTTCAGTTCACCAAATGAGTGCAAACTATGTGATAGATCATCTGTGAAGGCCAACTGTGTGCCATCCCACAGGACATGTGCTGCCCACAGGTGGTTGCATCTCAGGCTCTCACCCAATAAATAAGAGTGGGAAAAATGGATGTCTATATGGAAAAGAATGAAACCGGACCCTTATCTTACACCATACATGAATACACAAAAAACAACTCAAATGGATTAAAAATTTAAACATAATACCTAAAACTAAACACTATATATAGAAAGCCCTAAAGACTCCACCAAGAAACTACTAGAACTGATAAATGAATTCAGTAAGGTGGCAGAATACAAAATCAATGTTCAGAAATCTGTTGCATTTCTATACACTAATATTGAAGCAAAAGAAAGAGAAATTAAGAAAACAATCCCATTTACAATTGCACCAAAAAATAAACTAAATAAAATGTCTAGAAATAAACTTAACCAAGAGGTGAAAGAACTGTACTCTAAAAACTATAAAACACTGATGAAGGAAATTGAAGATGTCACAAAGAGATGGAAAGACATCCCATGCTCATGGATTGGAAGAAAAACATTGTTAAAATGTCTATACCACCCAAAGCAATCCACACGTTCAATGCAATCCCTATCAAAATACCAACAGCATTTTTCACAGAACTAGAACAAACAATTCTAAAATTTGTATGGAATGAACCACAAAAGACCCCTGATAGCCAAAGCCATATGAAAAAGAAAGGGGGAAAAAAAGCAAAAAAAAAAAGCTGGAGGCATCACAATTCCGGACTTCAAGTTACATTACAAAGCTGTAGTAATCAAAACAGTGTGGTACTGGCACAAAAACAGACACATAGATCAATAGAACAGAATAGAAAACCCAGAAATAAACCCACAATTACACAGTCAATTAATCTTCAACAAAAGAGGCAAGAATATGCAGTGGGAAAAAGACAGTCTCTTCAACAAATGGTATTGGGAAAACTGGACAGCTATATACAAAAAAAAAAAAAAAGAGAAAGGAAGGAAGGAAGGAAGGAAGGAAAAAAGAAACTGGATCACTTTCTTACACCATACACAAAAATAAACTCAAAAGAGATTAAAAACCTAAATATGAAACCTGAAACCATAAAAATCCTAGAAGAGAGCACAGGCATTAATTTCTCTGACATCAACCATAATATCTTTCTAGATATGTCTCCTGAAGAAAGGGAGACAAAAGCAAAAATAAAATTGGGACTACATGAAAATAAATAGCTTCTGTACAGCAAAGGAAACAACAAACAAAACTAAAAGACAACTTACTACTAAAAGAATGGGAGAAGATATTTGCAAATACCATATCCAATAAAGGTTTAGTACCCAAAGTATATTAAAAAAAAACTGATACAACTCAAGACCAAAGAAACAAATACTCCAATTTAAAAATGGGCAGAAGACATGAACAGACAGTTCTCCAAAGAAGACATCCAGATGGCCAACAGACACATGAAAAGATGCTCAACATCAGTCATCATCAGGGAAATACAAATCAAAACCACAATGAGAAATACAAATCAAAACATCACACCTGTCAGAATGGCTAAAATCAAAAAGACAAGAAGCAACAAGTGTTGGTGACGATATGGAGAAATAGGAACCCCCTAGTTCACTGCTGATGGGAATGCAAACTGTTGCAGCCACTGTGGAAGACAATATGGAGATTCCTCAAAAAATTAAAAAATAGAACTACCCTACAATCCAGTAATACACTATTGGGTATTTACCCAAAGAATAAAAAACACTAATTTGAAAGGATATATGCACCACTATGTTTATTGTAGCATTATGTGCAATAGCTAAATTATGTCTACTGATAGATAAATGGATAAAGAAGATGTGGTGTATATATATATGTGTATATATATATATATATATACACACACACATATATATAGTGGTTTACAAATATTTTCTTCCATTGCATAGGTTGGCAATATATAATGACAGAAAAAAGAATCTTCTACTAGGAGAATACAATTACCATACTCTTAACAAATGTAAGAGTCTTTGTCTTTGTCTACACACACACACACACACACACACACACACATACACATAATGTAATATTATTCAGCCATAAAAAAGGATGAAATCTTGCCATTTGCAACAACATGGATGGATCTAGAGAGTATAATGCTAAGCAAAATAAATCAGAGAAAGACAAATATCATATGATTTCATTCAAATGAACAAAGGAAAAAAAAGAGATAAGCCAAAAAACAGATTTTTTTTTAAGATTTTATTTATTTATTTGACAGAGAGAGAGAGATAGCCAGAGAGGGAACACAAGCAGGAGGAGTGGGGGAGCGAGAAGCAGACTCCCCACTGAGCAGGGAGCCTGATGTGGGGCTCAATCCCAGGACCCTGGGATCATGACCCAAGCCAAAGGCAGACACC